AGGGAAAAAAAACACCTGAGGCACCTTCTGAGATGACAAAGCACAAAAAGTTAGGAGACGAATGACTTATCCTCCTCTTTTTCTCACTTTTGTATTTGCAATGTTCATTGGTACCTCCTTGATAACAGAGCCCTTCCGGGGTGGGATGAAGGGGAGGACAGAATGGTGCCACAGAGGAGTTCCTTGCAAGGGCTATCCATTGCCATGAGACAGGGTGGCCACACACCGCAGTTTCAAAGATACAGACATTGAGAAACTTCCCCTGAGCTAGGAACAATCTTTGCTTTGTCATCTGTAGAGAATCAGGGATGCGACCAGGATATCATCAGTGTATGACCTGGTAAACTGGATTTTGAGATAAGACAATGTGCTCTCATCCATTTCTGTCAATGAAGGCAGGTTTTGGCATGGCTAATGACAAAATTTGCTCCTCTGAACAAAATAGTTCATTTATATGATTCTGATGCTGGCTGTAATTCAGCTTTCTATATGTCATTTGCCAGCAGCTTCCTCAGATGAATCAGTTTCTGTTCTCTCAACTGAAGCAGCCAGATGTTAACAAAATATCTGTGCAGTACTTAATTCCAAATATTATAAACTTTCTTGGATTTACATTCTGTCAAGTTGTCTGGTTGAGATAGTTAAAATAAATACATAAATCCTGGAAACAGAATGATATCACCTTGTTCCAGCTTGAACAAGAGACTTTGGAACACACACTTGCACCTTATTTCACATGCTCTTAAGTATCTGTTGATTACAATATTTATTTTGTTTCTTAAAGTTTCAGAAAATATTAAGTAAGATTGAAAATTGTCTTTGAAGAGAAAACTCGAGCACTGCCTTTTGGCCAGAAGGTGATCGAAGAGCCTTTCGATTCGTTTCCAGCACACAAACAAATAGTAAACAAAGCTTATTCAGCAATGAGCATCCATCTAGGCTGACAGATTTTGCAAGCATTCCACCAAGAGCGGAATCCTACCAGGATAACACTGTGCCAAGTTGAGAACATCACCGAGGCTGGCATCTGCAAGTCATTGTCCTAATACCATGAGATGCAGAAGGCCTTGGTGCTAGGTATTGCATTTGGAAACATATCCTGGCTTTGCCATGTAGAGTATGCTGCTTTGGCACAGACAGCCAAACCAAAGAAGAAAATGCATGCTGACATTATTTTGATTAACCTTCCACAGAATCATTCACAAGAGAGCATTTGTTCTAAGACCGTTTCTTAAGGGAAACCTGAGGAATTTGGCAACAGTATTGAATTGCTTTCTACCTGAGGAGTTGTTCTTGATCTTTAGCCTGAAATGAAAACAGTCTGGGAATGATTACCTGATGCCCTGGGTTTTCTTGTAATGACAAAGAGAGCTCAAGCTCAACAGAAAAGCAATACCATTTTTAGGAATAGGAAAAAATATATAGTAACATTTGCTGTATAAAAAACCCACAATCATTTTTAACAATAAGCCAGAAATGTATGGATTCTGCTTTATGTGTCCTTAAAAACAGTTCAGTAAATACTAATGAAGCTAACACTATTCTCAAGGTACCTTGAAGGCACAAGAGCAGGAGCTGGGAGACTCCAGGCAGGATATCCCAGGAGCTCAGCAGTACCATGGCTGTGTCTCACATTGGCAGTGCCACCACCTGTGGCTAAAAGGCTGCCCCAGCTTCCCACAGAGTGAGTGGCAAGAAGGTTGTAGGTGGACATCAGAGAAGACCTGGGGAGTAAGAGAGCCACAGTAAGGAACAAACCAGGACACCATCCTGCAGCTGGTGCTATTTCCTCCAATGAGATACTAAGACACAAGCTTTTCCCAGGAACTCAGACGCGTGCTTGTAGAGCTGTTCCTACTCTTCTGTTATTTCACTCTATCTAAAACACTTCCTGTTTAGTGTACAAGTTTTAGAATTACAGGTTGTTTCCTTTTGGGGTGTTCACTATAAGGAATTTCATCTCAAAGCCTTGGTCTATTTGAAGCATGTCACATGAGTAATCCCTACTTGCCAGCATGTCAAAGAATCCACTGATGGATCGGTATGTGAAATGGTGCTAGATATTATTGGAACACTTAAAAAAAAATTCCCAGTATGAAAAGAATCACAAGAAAGATGACATATACTGGGCATTTCATAAGGGATTTCTTTTCACCAAGCAATTTTAATTTTTTTATTTGAGTATTGCAGGAAAGATGAGTGCCAAGGATAAAATTAAACAAATAGAAGCAGTAACATAGCACCCTGGGACAGGGAGGACAAGAGGTGCTGCATAAGGGAAAACACACGATCAGAGATTCGTGGTGTGATGGAGCCTTGCAAAGCTTTGCAGACACAGCCAAGAAATTTCAAATGAGAAGGAATGGGCAAGAGAGTCAGTGGCATGAATCATAAGGGTATAATGAGAAAAAGGTCAGCATCTGAGATCTTGTTAACCAACTGGGTAGACAGAATGGGAACAAGGTAAATCTCAGGGAGGCCAGACTCAATGACAACACAATGTGAGTTGATGATTTGTAATTTTAATAATGCAAAATTCAGTAAATAAAATGTTAAAATAAGCAACTTTAATAATTCATTGCAAGGTTTACTATTTTGGGACTGTTATTTTATAGCATATATTTGAGTCAATCGCTCAGTGTCATTGCATGTGTCCTTTCCTTGTAACCATACCACTAGTTAGGCTTTACAGTGTTTTGTAAATGTCTGAGTAATTATAGGGTGATTTTGTTGTAGTTTTTGTTTGTTCTATGAACCAGGACCCTGTCTGTCACAGTGGGATGTCAGCTTTGAGCCAGAGTTTCCGTCCTCTCACGAAGGTTTTGCAATGCTTCAAGTGGCTCATGTCTCTACTGTCTCTACTAAATCAGCAGAATCATGTAGTGTTATCTGTATATTCAAAATATTGTGTAAATGTTAACCAATGTATGCACACCTTAAACTTCACTGAACAATGCTAGCGTGAACTACAGGTGTTAAAAGCCAGAGACTGCATCAAAATTTAGAATATATGCTGCGTTTACCTTCTCTATATCTGCAAAATCTTTGGTAGATGCTTTTGGTAGAACTGAAGTTTTTGCATGTAGAAATGACCAATATTCACCAAGATGCACCTTTCCATGGAAGTACTCTGTGTTTGATGCTGCACAACGGTGCATGCATTTGAACAGCTGAAATGTTAATGGTGGGCAAAGGCTCTAAAGACTAAAAGGCTTTAATGTGGCTAACAGCAGGCTCGTTAGTCTAGCACTGATCCTGAGCAAAACCATAGCATATATTGAGCATGGTATAATATGTTATTGTAAAGAATTGATGAAGGTGGGATGCAGATGCAGTGAACAATATCAGCACTCTTTAACAGAAACAATAGCACCCTTGTTAAACGTAAATTTTTAAATGTTAGCACTTACCAGAAAAATATTGCTAGCATTTTTGGTAAGCCTTAGTTAATGAAAAGTGACAGCTGACATAACACACACAGATTTCCACAGGTTCTTTTACTTAATACAACATGACATCCTGATTAAAAACATTTAACTGAATCACTGAAGCACATACTAAATAGATTAAAAACTGGTTAGCTGATGGATCTTGGAAAGAAATCATTAATGAGTTCTTTTTTTCTAGGTTCAAAGGTGTTCAAGTCTCTCTATTGAGGAACAGAAGCCATCAAATTGTTCCTATGTCCTGGCAGGGTTGCAGTTTAGGCAAAGACTAGCTAGCACTGCAAGGGTCTCATGTAGGCCTCTATGTCTGCAGGTACAAACTCATTTCTACTTCCTTGTTTTTCTTACGATAGCATTTTTTAATCTGATCAATTAAGATTTCACAGCGCTCAAGGCAAAGAAATTCACTCTTGAGCTGGAAGCAAATCCTATCTCAACCATTATCAGTGGACTTTTGTTAAGATTCCCAAAGCAACATGCAAATAATCAAAATTGCACAAATTCCTTGTGCTTAAGCAGTGGTGAAAGCCCAGCTGACCAATGCCCCCAAGGATCCGTTCAAACAGCTGTCAGAAAACCTGAGGGACAGAGGTCTGGGTGAAAACAAGTCCTGCTGTGTTACCAGTGCTTGAAGCTACCTTCCAGCCTTACTCAAACAGTAGTAAGATATAAACCCCTTACTTTGCATGGCATTAACCCTGCAAAATTTGAGTGAAACCAGAAGATTTTTCATTTACATAATACAAGAACTACACAGGCCCAGGACTTGTGGAAGCCGAAGCAAACTGTTCTCTAGAGCCCTGCTGACGGAGTTAATATTCACACAGCTAAGGCAATCACACAAATGGATATGACATGTGATGGACGCAGAGAATTAAAATGTAATTCACATCTGTGATATATGTTTACATTAATTGTCCATCCGATCATTGTGCTACATAATCCATGAAAAAAAATGGAGGAAGCCTGAGCATAAATAGACTGAGATTTTATATGGGCACCAGTAGGCATGAAAAATAAATCAGGAAAACAATGGTGATCACACAACACTCTGAGCTTGTGGTATAGAAGCAGGAGGTTTGCAATTTATCATGCATTTATCAGGCAGCAGGAACCCTACAATTCCTATTGTGAAGCTGCAGAATTATCCTGCCGTCAGCAATTTGGTTAGAACTATTTTATTAAAATACATCTTTGTGCTTTGCAAAGTAACTGCTTTTTGAAGCAATAGATTTGAATTTAGGAAGGCAAAGAGCATATGGTGGGAAGGACTTTTGGGCTGCAGCGGAGAGCTCTGCAAGCACAAGAGCACAGAGCTATGAGCTCTCCAGTAGCCCTTCACTGTGGGTAATCATATAATACGCTTCCCTCTTGTAAGGAATAATAAATACATGTATGTATAACATACAAATATATGCGTATACATATATGCACATTTCTATCATTTTTAAAGCCTGTTTCTTTTTCATGACAATAACTTGCTTTATATTACAGGCAAGTAAAAATTAACTTGAACATGGGCATCTTTCCCAGCTTCTTTAAACATACTGCCTTTAATGGGAGGGAATCGAGGCTTTTGCTGTTCTCACTACAAACAGCATAAGGAGCTTCCCCTGCCCTTTGTTCTGCAAAGCTTGTTGTGGCTTTTATCTGGTAAGATTACATACATGTAAGCTTCAGAAAATGCAAATCGTTTTAGCTTGATCTGGCTCTTTTGTTGATTTGAGCATAATCAAACGGGAATGCTTCATTTCAAAATGCCTGTACATGCCATGGATCTTTGTGAAAAACTCCTGTGAGGTTTCTATTCAACCACTACCACACCTCAGAAAATTCCTTAAGATCCCAACAGATTGAAGAAATACATTATGGTCCAGACCTACAACTCTTATGGTTAAAAGCCACTCCAATGAACAACCAAAATAAAGAAATGAGTCGTGGAGCAGGTTCTCCAGCCCCTTGTCTTTCTCAGCTGCAGTGGATCTTTACAGTAGCTTTCTGATTCTATTCAATAATGTAGCATGACATAAGAATGCAAGAGTTTTACTGAGTCAGGCCATGAGTTCATTGTGTGCTGTGCCACATTCCTGATTGTTGCCAGCCGCAGCTGAACAGCACAACAGGGAAGCAGGGAGTTGCCTTTCCCTGCATCAGAAATGTGCAGCTCAGAGGCTCTCTGAATGAGGAATGTTGTCTTCACATTTAATGGATGCTGATGATTTCTTCACTGAATTTGTCTAGCTGGTTTTTTAAAGCCATGTGAATACTCAGTATTCACTGCCTCCAGACTCAAGGGGTTACACAGATTATCCACATGGTACGTAAAAACACCTCCACTGTTGAACTTTCCACCTACTGATGTAGGCATGTCTCCTTGATCTTTTAACTACAGGTGTCAGAAACAGTCATATCACGTTAACCCTTTCTGAGCTGTTCCTTATCTTATAAACCTCCCATGCCATGACAGTACTGTTTCTTAAGGCATATAGAACTTTATACACGCACACTTAACTTGCAAGCTGGAAGTGATAAAAGCTTTAGTTTTCTAGCAGGATAAGAGGACATCACTGCCTTCAGACAAAAAGCAAAATGAGCATTGGCTATGAAATGCTTCAACAGTTTTCATGTCCCATATCAATACAGAACTTTATTTCAAACCAACACGTCCTGAATGATGAAGCACAACGAACTGCAGCCCTGCTCAAACAGGTGATTGTCAGAGAGCTCCTTCCTGTTTTTAGTGTTCTGTACACAACAAATTCCAAAAGGAGGACAACTATTATCACAACAAGTGTTTGCACAGCATGCTGAGGCAGTGTTTTAAAGGCCATAAACCTTTGCTGCCTTTTTCTGAGACAGGTTATCTCTTCAGCATCCAATGCCAAGAAATGGAGTTGTGAGACTTGAACATGGCCTGGCCTGACAGGTATCCACCAGCTCCTTCAGGTATCAGCCTCTTGGGGTTTGATCTTTTGAAAATAAGAAATATAATAACATGAAGTTTTTCATGCATCATAAAGATCATAAAGCTTGTGAGCTGGTGCATGCTTCAGAATTTGCTGCATGGACCTACTTTGTGTGATTAGCAGAAGCCAGTATCTCTTGGGAGAAAACATTGTTGGAGAAGCAGTGCAGAGAAAGGAAAAAATAGGAAACTGTCTGTGGCCAGCCTTGCCAGACAGTATGGATCTGAATTTCAATTCATTGTAAACAAGCAGCCTATCTCCGAGCGTGTCAGCAGTTTTAATGTCATGTCATCCAATCAACACAGGTTGTGTTTAGGGAATCAGAAAACACCTCTGCATTCATGGAAGAGATGTTTTGTCTTTCTTTAGTAATTTCTTCTATTAAACTGTTCCTCACTTGGCATCTTGCTTATGGTAAAGATCAACACCCTCTTCCTGGCGTTGGTGAACAACTCTCAACACCACTCAGCTCACACATGCCTCCAGACGACTGTAGAGAAAGAGGTGGCAAATCACAGAAAGTGGTGTTGCTTTTTCTGCAGTGAAGTGTGATGGTACCACCAGTGCACAGGCTTTTTAAGGTGAACTGTTGATTAGAAATCACGATTTGCATGAAAATACCGAACTAGCTCTTCAGCTGCTTAAGACTGGCAGAGATCCATTTAATTCAACGGAGGCGCGCTAATTTGAACTAAAGAGCTGACCCCCTGTGCCTACCCATATTAAATTATTACTATATTAGACAGATTGCAGATAATTATAATCCTGCATGTTTCAGTTTATTGACACTGTGTCTCTGGGAGCGCTCCCTTTGAGGAATTTAGCCAGTCATCTGCCATTCACTTCAAATGCAGAAACGCATACACATGCTTGCAAACCATAACTTAAAAAAAAAAAAAAAAACACAACAAAAAAACAACAATCCAGAAATAAAAGACTGTAAAGTCACAGCAACTGGCAGAGAACTGTAGGCTGGTCTAATATTTGGTTCTGCTTTCAGCTCATTGTAAAAACATTGCCTACCAAGCTGGCAAGATTTGAATTACTCTTTAAAAGGCAATTCAGATCCTTGCCATGTTTGTGTGAGCAATTACCTACTGCCAGTGACAAGACGTTCAACCTAGCCTAGGTCCACTCCATTCTTTCACACTTAAAGTTCTTGCATTTATGTAGTTTAACTGCATTTGAAGGATGTCTGCTCTGTAACTATGGAAGTGACCAGAGAGGAAATCAAAACATGTGAACAAAAAGATGTACGAATGTCCAACACTGTGGAAACATATCTATTTGATCTGCAAATCTAGCTGTAACAGAAACCAACTAGGGGAGACTAAAGTTAAGTTGGGAATGTGAAAACATGATTTTAAATGATTGCTAAGTACTTTTCAAAGCAGTATTAACATTAATAATCCCTGCTGGCATTTGGACCTCTGTTGTCACCCCCTCATTTTGGCGTCATACCACATATGAAAACTTTTGCTATTTAAGCCAGTTAGTAAACATCCTCCCATATTCCCACAAGCACTTTGTAGTTTATCATTTAGCAGTCCCAATTCATCTGTTTGCACAATTTTTTAATTTCTTTCACGTATGAATGCCATGCTTTGAAGAAGGCAATAGCCAGAGTCTTTTACAGGTGGTCCAGAGGAGGACCAGATTTCACTAGGCATCTCTCTATGAATCTGTCTTGAACTGTAATGCCATCTCTGTCCAGTCTAGGAATTAGTAGCAATATGGCATTTAAATCCAGGAGTACCACGATGCATTAAAACTGCTGCTGAAGCTAATGGACCCACGTGCAGAGCTGGAATCATAACACTGTGGTCTAAATGTGATCTAATATGTGGTATATAATCATCAATTAGCATATTTTTGCCTGTACAATACACCGCAGTCCCAAGTAAAGGTACCTAAGTCAACTCAAATACCAACACATCATTTCAGTGATCCATCAAGATGATTGATCCATTTCTCACCTTTAACAAGAAGCCATAGTTACAATATAAATTCTATAGTATCTTGCAACACTGATGATGATAAACATCTAAATTTAGGCACTTAGTCATGGGTAGCTAGCTGCAAGCCTGGTCACTCAAGGCTCTCTCTGAAATGAAGAGGCAGAGAAAGTTAACTCCAGATGCTGATTACTTTGATCTTGCCAAGAAAAAAAGTGCTAGCAGGCAGTTCAGCAAGGTCAGACTGACCTCCAACACACTTGAGGTGCCTTGCTGTGCAAGAAGCCTTTGGGGATCACTGGCCAATATAAACAACATGATGAAGCAGCTATATAAGGCAGCAGCAATAACATACCCAATAAGCACCTAGCTTTTCATAGCTGCCAGATTTTGTGTTTATTTTTTCTCACACGCACTCAGGTGTAACTCTAGGCATGTAGTGAGAGCTGCACTGCAAAAGACCCCCATCCAGCTACAGAACTGTCTGAACTCCTGCTCTCTGAACTTTTAATCAGGGTCATGGGGGTACTTGAAGCAGGGAACAGGGAGGGCTGGGGGCTGTGGTAACCTAAGCCTGGGCAAATATTTTCCCAAACATTTTTTCCTTATTGGCTGCATTGCATGCATGTGGGTTTTGTTGCAGAAGGATTCATGTGGGCTGTTATTAGCAGGAAGTATCTATACTATTCTTATAGTAATCTATCAATTGATGCTTAGCTCCTTATGAACAGCTCACAAGTCTATACAAGATGCAACTTATATATGCATACATTCACATCTTAAGAGTAAGGAAAATGTATTAGTTAAGGTCTAACACAGTGTGGCAAACAAAATTTGCAAAGGTTTATGGGTTTTATCAGAGATATGATCTTAAAGCCAATCTTACAGCAAATACAGAAGGACCAAGTCTGACTGCCAACAAAATGACAACTACAGGCAGAAAATAGTTGTAGAAAGTATCAGTCACTAGAGCAAAAGAAAATTCTTTGACTTCCACCAAGGCTACATTCAACTCAAGGCTGGAAAAGATGAAAAAACAAAGGGATAACTTCAAACAAAATAAAACCTTCAGCTGAAAACTGAAAAAAAAAAAAAAAAAAAAAAAAAAAAGACAGTACTGATACAGGCATACAGAAGATGCTACTTTTCAGGGAAACATTTGCCTTGCTAACACTCTGTCTATCTGTGATAGAAAAATTACACAAACATACGAAGATGGTAAAATGGGGTTATGCACGGGGTAAGCACATTCACAAGAGGAGGAGGCAGAAAGTCTGGATTTGCAAGTTCCCCAGCACGCTGCTATACAGTCTCTCTAAATGGAAAATCTTTGCTACTCCTCTGAAGCCTTTCTTTCTGCAGTGGTTGATCCCTGCTGGGAGACTGCCCAGCGGCATCTAACCCATGTGCGTATGCCTCTCCTGCCCCTTGTGGACATGCCATTTCCCACTTGTGAAGTGGACCCAGTTGTATCCCATCTCCCTTGGTCATTTCTTGAGGTTTTTGTCATTAATAATTGATATTTAATACTCATCTCTTTGCAAAACTTTTGGAGCTGCTACATTGTTAAGACTTTATCATGAAGAGCTACAGGTTTCCATGAGTTCTTCTTGGCAAGGAAGATACAGAACCCACACAAGCTGATTTTTATTTTTTTTTTCAACATCATATTATTTGTTAATTCAGTGTTCACTGTAGCTTATGATGTACAATGTAACCTCTTTCTCTGACTTTTCGTACTTCCTTCCATGCAAGTTACTGCTCCACAGCAAGCTCCTCACCAGCACATTCAGGTCACAAGCTCTCATTGAGGCTTACAAGAAATAGCTCCAGAAATGACTTTTCCTTATCCATATCTGACTTATAAGAAGAAGTCTCTGAGAGCAAACTGTATCCCAAGAAAGACAAAGTCTAAAGTTAAAAGCAATCTTAAATAGCAACAAAACACATCAAAATCATACAGTGTCACATACACTGACCAAAAACTTCATTAGGGGACTAATGATCCAAAATAAAATACCCACCTGTATCCTAGGCTCAAAGTAGAAAACTTCAAAAGGAGAGAGCTCCAGAAAAAAAACCCCTTCCTTCGTGGCAGTCAGCCCTTAAACGGGATCTAGGAGAGGTGCAGCCAGGCTCCACCTCTTCCGGTCACTCAGCTGAATTGCCTTCACCTGTGCTCCCAGGGCTGACTCTGCCATTGCCTCAGGTGATCAATCAGTGGTTCAGGCTGTGACTCAACAGTTCCTACACAAAGGGGTTTTTTGTGTGTTTTTTTTTATTTTTGTTTGTTTTTTGGGGGGGGGGGGGGTTGATTTTTTTTTTTTTTTGCTTGTCAATAAAATTCAAGAACTTAAGAATTTCATTTTGTAACTTTCCTTAAATGTGTCTTTTGTTTATACTAAAGAAGAATTGCAACATACGCTCTCCACAATTAATTCCCCCTAAGTTACTTTAAGATGATAACTTGGTCTGTGGAAGTAATGTTTGCCCCTGAAACCCATCTCAAACCACTCTGTGATTCTATAATGATAATTTTTTTCTGATTTTTTTTTTTTAAATAAATATTTACAATTTTTGTGGAACTAATAAAAGTTGCTATAACTTAAGCATTAGAGCCACTGAGACCACATGAAGGTAGATTAATTTTAACTAATAAATTATTTGCCTGTTTTACTGAAAGATACAGAATCCCCAGGAGAGACGCAGTGTGTAAGATAGTGTAAATGTACACAATAAAATGCACAGCCAAGAGCTTTCCTCTAAATAAGATAGGGAAAAAGACATGGTACGTCTCTTCACACATTACAAAATCCTTAGCAGGGCACAAAGAGAAAGTAAAATAATTTGAATTTGTCCACAGAAATATCCAAGGTTGGAAAAGACCTCCAGGATCATCTAGTCCAACCATCTCCCTGCTACCACTATTTCCCCACTAGACCATGTCCCTTAGAACAACAGATATGAAAGAGTCACTTGCCCTCCACTAAGATCATTGGCTTCACCACAGATCCCTCATCTAATGCAATGCAAATTGAACCTGACCAGTCTTTTACTCAGCCCTGAAGGGTCTTCCTTGAAAGTCCTTGTAGTCCAATCTTCATGTCATAGCAGACAGCGGGACAGCAAGTTCTACCCACAAGAAGTGCTTGCACCTTCATCAGCAGGACTTGGAAAACTGAACACAACCCAGTGTGGAAACACAACTGCCAAACACTTCATGACCTCAGTAGAAAATGAAACCATTCGGCCTATTTGGAAACAGTGGCTTCTTCCTCACATTGGACTACAAAACAGTTCTTTTAACAGGAATTCCAGCTGTCAAAGAGTTTTAGGTACAGGCATCAGCAAGATGAACTCCACCTGGAGCAGGGCTCCCTGCTGTCATCCTCTTGTTGTGTCCAAAGCTGTGTGCTGACTTGCTTGTATCTGTACAGAACTCCAGACAGAACTGCCAACATTAATTCTTCAGAGATAAGGTCAGAAAATTTTGTCCCAGTAGATTCTGTTCTCATACAGCTTCTACTAGATTATTTCGGTCAACTAACTGAACAAAGTTTTCCATCCTTTTCAATTATTCATTTTTTTTTCAGAGATATTATTTATACAGCAGTGTACACAGCATTCTGCAGTAAGTAGGTACATCGGGCAAAGAACAATGTCCTCTCAGTAGTATTTGCAGCAAGAAATGAATAAGGTACAGAACAAAACAGTAAGGAGGCAAGGTCATTGCATTTCAAATATTTCATGGAACAAAGGCAATATATTGAATGTTGAAGAAAGGAAGAATATTTGTTGAGTAGGAATGTTAACTAGTAGTGTTAGCTTTACACAACTATAATGAAGGGACCACGTCTGACCTAGTCATTGGGACCTTCCTTTCTGGTGAGAAACAAGCATCTTTCATGTTGAGATTCATGTTAAAAAATAGTGTTTTGTAGCTGAGAATTTGCTCTACCAAACAGTGCCAGTGTGCTCTTTGAATTTTTTGTAGTTTTCCTGAAAATAAATTGGAGGCATTACTTTCAGAGTCACCTATGTATTACATTTACATTCTCTGGGAGATAATTGCACAATTAGCTTAAAGAAATCAGGTGTCCCAGTGGCTGCAGTCTAAATCAGGTTTGATTATAGCATCCAGTTTTCTAGAAGATGTTTCCAGGCATACGTTTTTTCATCTGGTTTTGAATATGCTCCTGTACACTTGTGGTTTATAGCCCTGCCATGCTAAAGGCTGACCGAGGGCAAATGAGCTGAATTGATTTAGTGTTTAGCACAACAGATTGCAAGCTGGATTGGGGTAATTGGGGTAGGCAAAAACTTTCTAATGTTTTGACCACTCTACAGCACCATGTCTTCCACCTCTGTTGCTCCCCGTACTGTTCAAATTCTTACCTCCTGAACAGGAACAACATGGGCAGACATCCACAGGGATGATGCCTGATGCTTGCAACAGGCCTCAGCCCCAGCCTGCAATTCTCAACTCAGGGGACATGAGCAACATTGAGTGCAGAGAGCACTAGAGGCTGGTACCTACAGCTCCCAGCATGAAAGCTGAGTGCTCAGCTTGCACTTGAGTCCATGAATGTTGCCATTACAGAAAATAGGTTTTCTTCTGCAGGGATTGTGCTGTAAGCATCAAGCCACTTTTACTTTGATACTGAATGGATGAAAAACTTTGTAGTGGCTGTTACTGAAGCCCATTGATCTGGAATGGAAAGTCCTGCCTTCCATTAACACCACTAAACTCTCAATCTGTTCATTTCCCATATGAGACATCTTTTGTTTTTCTATTTAATAATTTCCATAAATCTGCAATACGAAACTTTTTCAATCCAGTCCTTATGTGTAGGAGGGTGTGAATATTTCCTGCTCATAGTAATGAATGCTTTGGCAGAGGCAGTTGCAGCACAGCCCTGCTTTCAAGCCCCAGCTCCAACATGCTTCTCACTGTATCCCAGTGCTAACACAATTAGCTCTGCTTTGTGTGTCTGCCATGGTGAGATGACACAGACAGAGTGACAGAGCAGTAGTCAGAAGACCCAGACATTAATCTGTGTGTTATTACACACGGAAAAATACCCATATTCCTTGCATTAGGCTCCTCAGCCTGAAAAAGGCATTGCCTAAAAATCTGGGTCACCCA